AGATTGCAGATGAATTATCGTTGATTCATGATACAAAAATTTTGGATTTTCCTTTCTGCTTAAGATACCACAACAGTGCATTGAATGAAAAGAAATTTTTCGAAAATTAAGCGAATTCCTTCAAACAAAAGATGATCGCCCTTTTGTCAAATAAAAAGAAGCCTTTTACGTTATTACTTTCTAAAAAAAACGTGTTTGTTTCCCTCGTGGACAGCACATGCGAGAAAGTGTATTTATCGCCGGTCGTAGGATAGGAAGAGACAAGCTGTTTACCGGTCGGAGAGAGTGGTTTACCGCTGAGAAGCAAGTTACATTCAACTTTGACGCAATTATCATCAGATTTCCAACAAGACCCCTTTCTAAATCCTCTTGTCAATCCTTTTGGCCTCATTGTCTGCGGTAGTGACGACGATTTCGCCACATCCTCTTCTATTTGAATTTTTCCAGACGGAAGGACGAACTTTTTCCCAAAAAATCAGTCCCACTTCGTTCAATTTGCCCTCAAAGAGAATTAGAGCACAAATAAAATTCATATATCAGAAAGCTAGAAAAACGAAATGGTCAATGGTTTTTTCTATCAACTCTTGTACAAAAGACAAATATCAACGACACAGGCCTATAAACTATGTAGTTTAGATTATATGCTAGTTCTCCTAGATCTGCAGTATACGTGTAGACGTTTTGATATGTCTCTTCAGGCAAGACGAAAACTACTTGGTTCAGTCCTCCCTTCCTCATCCATACATTCCATCTATGGAATTCTCTTCCTCTTTCTATCCGGTGAGGTCACCCTTTCCATCTTTAAGTCCTGACTCATTGATTACCTTTTCTCCTTACAATTTAGCACCAAAGATTTTTAATTTATCCTTTATTACTACTATATGTCTTTATTGTTTAATATATATACAAAGTTTATAGATCGGGGGACCGCGGTAGCCGAGTGGTTAGCATGAGAGACTCTCACGCCGCGGTCGTGGGTTCGATTCCCACCGTCGCCTCTGGCCCTTTTTTCCCGAAAACCCCCAATTTGAACACACAAGAATTCGTACCATGGCTAATATGCAAGATCATAAGGCAAAAAAAAAAAGTTTATAGACCGGCAGCATATATTGCAGAGCAAGAAAGACGTTCCTCATGGTTTAAAACCATCTGAGGGTGTGCAGCACATAAACTTATATAACTAAAATCTCTCTTATTTACAAGTAATTGTAATTAATATTTACAAAAGGAATACATACTTTCTTCAAAAATTTCAGTAATGTAATAATATAACATAATTATATAATAATAGCTGAAACATGATTGCAAATATATACATCTCTTATTTATGATTACCTATAGTGCACATAACTCAATAATAAAATAAACTAAAGTAAAGTAAATGGGAATAATAAAAGTAAAAATAAATAATAATGCAGTACATTATCTACCACAAGAGATAATAGTAAAAAACAAAACAAATAATAAGTGTTTAAAATATAATATTCAGGTCGGAGATGAGCTTTTCACCTATTCAGAGGAATCCGACAAAAGAAGCCGCCTCCACCCTCACCAGCTGCCTCTGATTCTGGCTCTAAGAGAATAAGCCTCTTTGCAGAAATTTACCAAGACAGCCCAATCCTTGCCATTAATATATTCTAGCAGAATCTCACTAGACAGAGTTTCCTTACCAATATAGTGTTTCCTGACAGCAGTCAGTGCAGGGCAAATTGCCAAGAAATGGAACAAATCCTCCCGCTCTGTACCACGAAAAAGTTCACAGTTAATATCCTGCTGGTTGAAGTGTTTGTAGTTTAAGTTAAACAGATCCCCCCCGACAGTCAATTATCCACCGCATGCTATCTAAGGGTAGCGAGAGATCCATTAGATAATTTGGGGATCTGAAAAGAAGCTCTCTATGAAGTGGGAAACTGTCTGAATTGGCCAAAGCTGGCCAATATTGTCTCTTTATATTGTCACAAATGGACCTTCTAACTAGTCTCAAACTATCCCTCCACAGTTCAACTCTGTCGATATTGTTCCGGTCTAAGGACAAGTCCAGATTTACCAGCTGCTATAGATTAATTAGTGAAGGCAGCTGGAACCATAAGGGAAATAATATAGGTCACTCGAAAATTCTACATTTATTGAGTAAGGTCAACAACCAACTACTAAGCGTTAGCGATAAAAAGGTAAAAACACCTTTAGGGAAAAAGCACTTTCAGGTAGTTACTCACTGTGATTACAACCATCGAGCCTAGACTGCTTCACCGATGGCTCACTCATTAAGGAGAAGGGAAGCGGTGCTGGAATACACATACCTAAATTAGGGATCAGCATCCCCTCTTGGTAATAACACCTCAGTCTTTCAGGCGGAGGTCTGGGCCATCAATGTTTGCTGCAGAACACTCTGGAGAACAAGGTTGAGGGAGAAGATATTAGAATTTTTTCCGATAGTCAGGCCAGTCTTAAATCATTACAAAAAGAGTTATCAACATCTAGGCTGGTAGAGGAAACCATTGAACTTATTAATAGGATTACTACCAGGTACGAAGGTACGAGAATAGGGTAACCCTCATATGGATACCAGCTCATAAGGGGCACTATGGCAATGAAGAGGCGGACAGCCTGGCCAAAGAAAGCTCAATACCGCGTTTGTCGGGCCACAACCGGTATTACCCCACTCTATAAGCACAGTAAAAGAGAGTATTAATTGCTGGGGCATGAAACAATTCCTGAAAGAATGGAATCTATCTCCCGGACATAGACATAGGAGTTTCTGAAGGAAATCAAACCAAAAGAAGCGAAATGGTTATTCTCTAACTCAAGGAGGGGAATTAGGAGGCTGATAGGTATCCTATCGGGCCATTGCCCCTTGAGAAGACACCTTTTCATAATGGGTATCCTACCAGACCCCTTTTGCCGCTTCTGTGAAATAAAAGAAGAAACGGCTCGACACTACCTCGCAGAATGTGATAGGTATGCCAGGAATAGATTTGAAACTTTTGAAGGAGAGGACATTGACAAATCACTCCCCAAGATAAAATGGTCCAAAATCTTGGGGTTTGTGAACAGGTCCAAGAGGTTTATGCAGGACTCGTGAGCCGACCAATTCCCGGACCTTTTAGGGATGGTGTACGGGCCTACTTAAGCTTTTAACCCCTCGGGTCTAGGTCGCCCACCCAGCATAATATATATAAGGACAAGTCCAAATTAAATTGCATGATATGCCTTTTAATTTCCTTAAACCAATACATTTCTTTATCTACAATCTGCTTGGCTAGGATCTTCGGGAGTCTATTATCTGGTAGGGATAAAATTCTTATTATGTAGTCGAAGTGAATTTTCACAGTGTAGATAAAAATTGGCAGGAGACCCGTCTCAGCATAGAGGAAGGCTGCGGGGGCGTACTGGGGCAGCCTGAACTGATGAAGAACCGTAGAAACCCTTCTACCTGTCCAAACATCTCTCCTCCCCAAACCTGCGTGTAGCATAAAATAGACCTGCTGACTGTGTTAAATATTTTTAGCTTAGTAGGGTACGCAATATCGGCGTTGTCTATAAGAGGTTTCCAGATAGAATTTAGTCCCATCCTTGCTCTATCCACCGCATCCGTAACATGTTTGTTCATTGACAGTGCCGGTGTGAGTCGGATTCCCAAATACCTATACTCATTCACCACCTCTATCTCCTCAGTTTCTAAATACCACCTCTCACTTTTCGCAGGTCTACCCCCAGTTCTGAATACCATAATCTTAGATTTATTCAGATTTAGTTCCATCTGAGGCAGTACTGTTGTAAAGACCTGATCATCCTTTATTAACGAACTGTTTAACTGTTGTTGAGCTACGATAGTATAAGTAGGGATGGGAACGATATATCGATGTATCATATATATCGATATATTTCTACGTATGTCTAGTATTTTTATCGATATATTCATTTTTTATTTACGAAAAAAAGTAATGTACAAAAACTTGACTATACATTTTTCTTAATTATTATTGGATATATAATTAAAAAAATATCCCTGTCAGTGCGTCAAATTGGATTAGAGACTGCCGTCTGGTATGAGACATCGATATATGTATATAATTTTAATTGTG